TATTGATATAACCCTGAGAAAGGTCCCTGGTAAAGAGTGGCCAGGGCCTTGCATTCTTGGCATGCCCAACAAGAAGTGTAGGAGCATAGGGGATCCATGGAGGAGTGTCTCCCAATATCCTACCCCATTTATCCCCACTTAATTACTTCATGCAGAAAATGGGGATGACAGTGTCTACTTGATATAGTAGCTATTAAATGAGTTATGTGCTCAAATGTCACTTTTTCAGTGACACATTCCCTCACCATCCTATTTAAAATAGAAGTCACACATCCAGCATTCTCTGAAAATACTACTTTATTGGTGTATTTTACTTCACAGCATTTATCACTACTGAATATACTCAACATTTCACTTATCTCTTTCATTGTCTGTCTTCCATTCTTCACCAGAATGCAATGCAGGGATACCTTTCATATTCTTCTGTCTCATCAGTGACAAATTCAGGGCCTCCACATTTTAGGTATAAATAATAAAATACCTGTTGAATGGGTGAAAACACTCAGCCCAGTGGTTGGCACAAAAAAAGGGGCTTCATATATACCAGCTTCTCTTTCACTCTGCTCATGCCTTTCTCCCTTTTTTTCAAAGTGCCCATAAATCCATCAACCCCCCTCAGTCTTCCTAGCTGAATCCAAGAGAAGAAGTTCCACAGATACAGCAAGGCTGCTCGGAGTTGCTGCTGTTGGAGAGGAAGCTTTTAGCCTTTTCCTCCAGCTCTGCAGTACTTGGGCTCCAGTCTACCCTCCCACCTGTTCTATCATCCCAAGCCCCTGCTGAGTTGCCCGTGCACACCCAAGAACCTACCCTCCCTCTTCTCCTTTTCCCTTCCTTCCATTTGGTCAGTAGGTGTGGGAATTACTACTTTCTGAATCTGAATCTGAGAACACACAGGAAATAAGAGTATGGGAGTCCGACTTTCCATGGGAGCAGTAAAATCATAAAAGATAATCATAAATGCTCCCATGTTATTGAGTGCTGAACATGTACTATATCATTTACACATGTTTTCTCAAGTAGCCTTCACAGGAACAGCGGAGGGGTAAGTATTGTTATTGTCCTTACTTGACAGATAAGGAAAATAAAGAAACTGAAAGTAAGTGTATTGAAGGCAGAAGGTATTAAATGAGCACAAGGGTATGTAATTTCTAACCTCTCCATAGACTTCCTGCTTCCTCCCTGAAATTCTGACCTACTCAGTGGGCACTTGTATTAGCCTCTCTTTAATGCAGAGGCCTTGTCTCCATATCTGGTCTAGACTGCAAACTTATTGTGAACAAGCCCATGTGTAATTACTCTGTGGCATTCATAAGTTTCACACAGCAGGGTCTTAGTAATCAACAGAGGCAATGTGCATAGTATCAGCAACAGGTGTTAGAGTCACAGAACTAGGTTTGAATTTTGGCTTTGAATTGAACTCGTTTTGTGACCATGGGCACTTTGCTCCACCCCTCTGAACATGTTTCCTTGTCTGTAAAATGGGCATCATACAAGTACTTGTTTCAGAGGGTTGTAATTAAAAATCAAATGTAAGTGATTATAACAGTGCTTGGCATGTAATAAATCCTGAATAAATATTAGCTATTATTGTTGCTATTATAAGAACCCCTATGTGCTAGTCACTTTAATATTCATTTTTAAAATATAATCTTATCACACTAGAACATAATAGGTGTTATTACTATTTTATACACGTCTCAGAAAGGTTAAAGTAACTTTTTTTTTTTTTTTTTTTTTTTTTTTTTTTTTTTTTTTTTTTTTTTTTTTTT